CTGCACTATGATTTGGAGGCGAGTTTCGTTTTTTCCGTAAACATTTTTCTTACACCATGTTTAGATTGTTTTCTGTTCTGTGGTTACATTTAGCCTCACCGCTTAATTATACGATTATGTTTTTACTGTTTTGATGTTTACATTGAAAACAATGGCCACAAAATAATGGATAAGTAGCCTACACTAATTTTAAAATCTTGCCGTGTGAACCAGGCTTTAGTACAAGATAATGTTGTGTTTTACAAGCCACAAATACAATGTACCTGCAATGCATGTATCAGCGTCAAGCTCTGACTGAATGAATAGCCTTGTCGTTATAATCTCACGTTAATGATGGATAGCTGAAAAGTTACCGGGTTTATTAACTACTAGTTTCGCTCCAGCTCCTCTCCTTTTCATTTCTTTTGATATTCCTTGTACAAAATGTTGAATAAATGCTGTTACCTTCCACATATCATCTCTGATGTCCACTGGACTCTCGGTTGCGTGATGTCAGCTGTTTGAGATTGCCCTTCATGGTTACATCACCAGGCTTTCTGACTGCCTGTCACATTAAACAGGCTGCGTTCTCGCTCCCGGAAGGGGAAAACCCCACACGCTGCGATAGTCGGGACAAGACAATTCAACATGTTGAATATGCCTGATTTTAGATCGGAGCAGTAACACACCACACACTGCAGGATGATCGGCTACAATTATTGTAAGCGACAATCTTAGAACTAGGAACGTTCTAAGATTGTCATAAGGGGAAAATCATGGCAAAAAATTTAAATTGTCCCATGTGAACTAAGATTTTGTGGGCACACAAATATGCAGAAGTTTTGTCTGATAGTTCACCGCCCCCACCCACCTTTTTATCTCCGCAGTGATAAAAAGTTTGGGGACCACTGGTTTAGACCATATCTCCAAGAGACTTTTTTTTTAGGTCCTGACAAGATACACACGTGTATCGGATTTCATGACCGTTGGTCAAAGTTTGGCTTGGGGCTGGTTTATTACGGAGCGCTGAAAAGGAATTAGGCCACGCTCACCAAATACTGGACTGCAATATTTTTGCAGTCCAATATGGTGGGGAAGGATCGATCACAATGAATTTGGTGCAGCTCAGCTGAATATGTGGAATTTAGAGCCAAATGTATAGCAATGGCATCACTGTGACTTCGCCTCACTGCCATGGCCACACCCTCCACTGAAAACTCTTGGTGCTTCAAAGCAAAGATCAAAAGGTCTTGTGTCTGTCACCTTACACAAGACCATCTTGACTAAGTCAAGGGGGTCAGCTTTTGAGGCTTTCTAAACTAGGGGTGCACTGATTCCAGTTTTCTGGCCGCACCTGCTATTTCCCATTTTGTCTGGTACCGATTTATTTATTTATTTATTTTTTTGTCAGAAGAGTTACTAAAAAAAAAAAAAAGAAAAAGAAAAAAAAAGACAGTTCTTACATTGGCAACAGTGGGTTAGCATGATAAATCCTAGGAGAAAGTAGGAAAGGGGGATACATTTTGATGCCATAAATGTTATGCTGGTGATTTCTCAAAATATCAGTGAGAAGTCACCAGTGCTGTTTCAGTGCTATGATGAGCTCTGAGACTTGATTGAGATGTTCACAGACTTGATGAGCAACTATTTGTTTCAACAATATTAGCTAAGGAAGATCTGTGATGGACTGGCGTGCAAAGGGTGTAAGAAAACAGATGGCTAGATAGATAAGGAAGATTAGATATAGGTCTGTAATTTAAATGTATACCAGAACACATGTCCATTGTCTTTCTTGCCATCTGAAAAAAGTTTATGCCAAAAGAACTGGATTGCATTTCTGTGGGTAGAGTTGAACATATGGCGTTCTCCTTGTGTTCAGTCATGATGAACAATTTTGGCAATTACTGAAAGTTGTGCTTTGCAAACTTGCACTTTTATTCCATTGTGGGAACAAGTGATATTGCCTATAGATTAAGAGCAACTTCTTCCAATAATCCAGGAAGGTTTGATGATGTATAGCTTATACCTGCATGTCAGAGCACGATTTAACAAGGTAAAAGTCATCAAGTGGCTCAAAATCCAAGCAGGTTTATTTTGAACTTATGGCCATTAAAGTCTCCAACTTTCAGCCCTAAAAAAGATTATGTGGTTGGTTCCATGGTGGCCCAAAAAGGTCAACAAAATGCAAAAGCCATAACATAACAGGAACCAAAAACCCACTATAGTTATGCTTCAAACAAAGTTATGCTTAAAAAGACGTATACAAAAATGGATTGCATGTGAAAAAACAGAAGTTATGCTAAAAACAACTTATACTAAAACTAAAATTGCGCTAAAAATGAAAGCTATGCTAAAAAACTGGAAGGTATGCTAAAATGGAAAGTATCGCCTTCTGGGATATTGTAAGTTTTCTAAAAGGAGGCAAACAAACAAAAGTCAACAAACTATGCACTAAGGAGACAAAGAATCATCAAAATGTTTTTTCTTCTGCAGTATCCAATAACGAACTTCTTGTTTTCAGTGTATATACTGGCCATGATTTATGGTTTCTTTATACACAGCAGCCAATCAGTGACAAATTACTGTTTTGGTTATCAAATTGAGTGTTTCATGTAAAAAAAAAGAACAAAAAAAAAAAACTGGTCAACTCTTTGACCACGTGTCTGACAAACTATGATCAAAATGGATGCATAATTACTGGTGTGAATTTTCACTGCAACACAGAAAAAAATAAACAAACCGAGATACACTCATCTGTTGTTCAATGGCCAATACTGGCTTTCTTCTAAATCAGTACTGGCCAATTTAGACTTTCTTTCAGCAAGTCCATTTGGTGAGTTCTATTTTAAATCAACATTTACATCTTACAAACACTGACTAAAAAGGAAAAAATATCTGCAGCTTTTTTGATTGATGCTATTGCTTAGAATCCAATGGAAAACATAGACATTACATATTATCTCCACCTACGCATCAAAGACTATCTTCCCCTGTCTACCCAATGAAATCAAACAAAGTAGCATCAAAAGCCACGTTTGTTGATGCATTTCAAAAAAGAAAAAAGTGAGACTTTTCAGTTCTGAACCACCTAATGAACTGACTTTATAGTAACTGACCTGCTAATCACAAGTGCTAACATCAATCACTGCCTGGTTGATCATAAAAACTTTACTGTCTGATTTCAATTATGAGTATCACCTAAGCTAATCTACAACATTCAGTACAACAGCAAAAAGGTTAACAGCATAGGAAACTAAATGAAGCTCTGTTTTGTTTTAATTGATCTCCTCAGAACTATCCAGTAAGTTGGAATACTGCACTGCCTGAAAATTTGGTTCTCCTTTATTAAATTAAGTTCGTACTTAGCGAAACATCTCCTCATATACTTAAATTAAATATACAGCTTAAACCTGTAATATGACTGTAGATACTGACTCCTGCCATTTTATGACAGGTTATATCTTCAAATTCACAGTGTGATGTAATCGGTCCTGATGCCACACTGAAAACGCCTGCAGCATGCCAGGGATTCAGAAACCTCCCCATACTCATCATCATCAGAAATCAGTGGAGGCCGTGGGAGCAGCAGAAACAACATCAAAAGGTGGGCTGCTTGATCCTATTGCATAATTGCTGTGGGATGGAGCAGTGCCATCTTCTCCATCAACACCACGCTGCCATTTCACTAGTGAGCCCATTCTTTTCACGGAGGGCCCTCCAGGGACCAATGGGGCAAGCCACAACACACCTGTTTTGTCAACAGCACAACAAGCAAGAAAATAAGATGATGGAGATGCAGAAGCTACCCCACCCCGAGAAGGGTGCGCGCAGTTTCGCGCGTGCACAAATACGTTAGCACCAGTCAGCTCTTCTTCCTGTGACCGAACAATCACTACGGTGGCAAAACCTAGGGTCCCACCCAGGCTGCTGTGTGACAGAACCTATTCTCGTGTGATAAACATCTTATGTTTCCATTGAATGAAGACAGTTTTTGCTAACTCAGCTCACAGTGAGGGTGTTCGGTTAGCAATTTACTCACCCATCTCAGCAGGATGTCGCTCCAGAAATCCGACAGAGAGTTTTAAAACCAAGCCGTAGCAGCCAGAGGCCCCTCTTTCCGCCTGGATCCGGGTTCAGGCAGCGGCTTGATGTAAAGCTAGCTTATGGAGCCGGAAGAGTAGGTCGAGCAGCGGCCGAGATTTCCCTTTCGGATAGACGCTGCCGTACCGGCCTGTGTTCCGGAAACGATCAGGTTATCGCTGCTTACTTCCTCTCATGCCCACACCAACAGTGGCTGATATCAGGAAATCCTACCAATAGGACAACACAGAGGCACTCGTGCTCACTGATCGGCGATTCCCTGAAATACTGCCTCACTCTGACATTGATTCGTCAAGATATGAGTTAGCTCGAGAAGCCAACTTCCGCTCTCATCCTTCAAAATAAAACAACTTGATTTACAAAGTTCTCACCCCTAGATGGCGGTAGAACTTCAAAAATGCGGACTAATGACTGGGCTATAGTTTTCAGTGCTAAACTAAGATCGTACTTAACGACGAAGTAGTAGGGCCATACTAAGAAAGAAAAAAAAAACTAAACATGTTTAGTTTCATCATTGTGTAAAGACTACAATCAGGACCGGATTTAGGAGGGTGTGATCCCCTCGGCTTGAGCCAAGGTGCAGGGCCTACTGAATGTGCAACTGGTTCTACAGTTGCACAGTAATAGGCACACACACAGATATATATATATATATATATATATATATA